AGGGATATAGTTCAATGTGAAGACCCTGGTTTCAATATCCAGTACTGCAAAAAGCAAAACAAAAAAAGCAGCTGGGAAGATCTTATTTGCTGACCTCTGTTATCTGAAAGTAAGCAAGGAGGGAAGTAGAAAGAAAGTTACTTGCTCTGCAAATGGTTCAAGAAAAGAACAGTCAAATGTTCTAAAAATTTTATACCTATTGTCTTCAGTCCAAAGCTTTGAGGTCAACTTAGAAAACTCGAGTTGTATGAGAAGACAGTGTATTTATATTACATATATAAAAGATTAGGGCCGGGAATTTAGCTCAGTGGTTCCACTGCCTGCCTCACAAGTACAAGGACCCGAGTTTGGTCCTGGGTACCAAAAACAAAAAAAGATTAGAAGCTATGAGGTAGAATCCTCAAAGTAGAATCACTGTCTTAGGACAGCTTATGGAAGATGAAATAGAAGTACAAGGGAAGGGCAGTCATTGGAAAGCAACAATGGCTAAGCAGTAAGAAATAAACTCCAACAAAAGAGATCACCCAACACTTTACAAAACAAAGCAACCATTGCTAACTGCAGTTACCACAGGCAAATACTGTTCCCAGAGAACCAAATATTCCTTCAATATAACTCCACGACCTATCATCATCTGTCATCTCAGGTATCAAAGTTCTCTAGAAAGAGAACTCACAAATATAAGACAATCTACCACACCCCTATTTTTATCATGCAACTAGGCTTTACTGTATCAGCATACTGTGCCCTGGAATATATCTCTTATGAAGTAGTACTAGGCTGCAAGTTTTCCACAGGTAGAAAAATGGAAAGCAAGTATACTAAGCTGATAGTTGGAGAAAAATGTAGAAATAAGTGAATTTCTTTCTATTCATTTATTTAAAATGTAAAATACTTAAAAGGTACAAAATTACAGTGGGCAGAACTCAAGCTTTCACTTCTGACAACCCTGAATTTGAATTCCGTTTCTCCCCCTCTCCCACCCTACTACCAGGATTGAACCCAGGGCTAGGTAAGCATTCTACCCTTAAATTATATCTCAGCTCTATTTTTATTTTGAGACAGGATCTGACTAAATTGCCCAAGCTGGCTCCTAGTTTGCAATCTTCCTGCCTCCACCTCTGAGCAGCTGGGATTACAAGTAGGAGCCACCACACCTGGTAGCAATTTAACTTATTAATAATGAGTAGCAAGAAGTAGGAGGTGGAATTAAAAAAAAAAGCATATATACCTAATATAGGAACATAAATTGATACAACCACTGTTGGAGAGCTGATAGCCTCCTCTTCCTATTAAAAAGAGATCTAAGTAAAGATTATTCTCTGCTCCCTCTCAAAACCACACTTTAAAAAAATTTTAAATGTAAAAGGAGCTGCATGTGGTGGTACAATATGTCTGCAATCCCAGCACTGGGGAGGCTGAAGCAGAAGGATCTGAGTTCCAAGCCAACCTGAACTACATGCTGTGAGATCAGGTCTCAAAAAAAACAAAAACAAAAATAAAAGGGGGTATAGATAGCTTAGTATCTGCAAGGCCCAGCACCCTCCCCAAAAAAGTACAATGTACAAATATAAAGAGAATTCGAAAGGCCACAAGCACATAAGAGATTCCAACAAAATCTTCAAAAAGGGAAAAAGTGAATGACACCATAAGCTTAAATCTAAACTGCCTAAGAAGGAAGGAAGCCAACAAACAAGTCAGATCATATCAAAGAAGCCAAACAAGAATCTGAATTAAGCATGAGGTACCATAAAGGGCAGGATTTTCAGGCTATGATTGAAATGTCAAGGTGTGGTCAAAAATCGCGGAAAATAACCTTCAGGTTCCCAGATCCTCTACCTGACAAGAGCTTCACTCTCAGAAATCTGTTAGTGGAATTAGGATCAAAATGTATAACTGATACTGTGAAACAGGAAGAAAAGGTCTAAAGGAGTAGGGAAAGTGGGAGGGGCAGGAGAAAGGAAAGAAGGGAAACGAAAAAATATGAGAAAAGGAAAAAAATGGAAACAAAGACTTTGTAAATAGGGAAGGGAGGAGGTGGGTGAAGGGAGGGCAGGGGAATGAGGCAAAAACAGGAACCAAGATACATCATGTAAAGGTACAAGATCCCAATGATGAATGTAACTGTATTGTGTAACTAAAATGTACCAATAAACTTAGTGGGAAATTAAAAAAAAAAAAAAAGAGAGACTGTTAGTGGAACTTACAAAAACAAAAATAAAAAGCCAATAGTATTCCCACCTGATCACCAAGGCTCTTCTAACCAGTTTTTAGTACAGCCATTTTACAAAGATGAAGTGTTATATGAATGAGTTTTTAAGTAACCATTCCCATTAGTATCATACACATAAATGTGTATTTTAGGAAATTTAATAGAGTTGAAAGTTACAAATAAAAAGGTAAATCTATCATCAGAGCTGTATGCAGAGTATACCAAGACATACCATAGTAGTGTTTATTTTTTTTTTAGGAATCAGCTTAAGTCTTTTTTCAAAGTTCATTACTTTAAAAGTTCATTAGGCTAAAAAATATAAATTAATGTTCATTTTACATATTTATCAAATATAATTATCAAAAATAGTCTGCTTGGGCCAAGGATTTAGCTCAGTGGTTCTGCCGCCTGCCTCACAAGTGCAAGGACCCAAGTTCGATCCCTGGTACCAAAAAAAAAAAAACTCTGCTTGATTTGAGTATCTCACAACTATGTGACAACTATCTTAAGTATAACCAAGAAATACCTGATTTGAGAGTATACAGAGGGATACCCAAGGAATTAATGCACAGAATTTCATCATAAAATTTAGTAGTCTGTAAGTTTATTCACTTACACTAACCCCACTAAAAGAGCAGTAAGAAAAAAAAACCTTAATATTTGCTGAATGATTGTGCTAGGAGAGGATTATATATGTACAAGTGCCTACAGAAATATAATTGCAAGACTATCTCTACAACAGCTCTACCACCTAAATTTCCACATTCATGTATAGTAAAAAAAAAAAAAAAGAATGAACAAATGTATGACCTTCTAAAGCTCCCAGCAGAATGCTTTCTGAATTATTCAATTATTCAATATCATTCTTTCTTTGTCATTATTTTAAAATCATGAGGCAACTCCCTAAGCTCCTTCAGCACTGGAACCAAACAAGATATTTATTATAAGGTTCATTACACCAAATATGCTTTTTTTAAATATATACTCGGGGATTGAACCCTGGGATGTTCTGCAACTGAGCTACCTCCCCAGCTTTTTATTTGTTGAGACAGGATCTTACAATTGTCCATGTTGGCCTCAAACCTGTGATCTTCCTGCCTCAGCCTCCCAAGTAGCTGGGATTACAGGCATGCACCACAGTGCTTGGCTGTGTTCTTAAAATTTCTAAATGAAAATCCTCACTGAATGCTACTCAGTCTACATAAAACTCGCTTTGAAGATTTTTTTAACATGTTAATGCTAAGGAATGGACAAGTGGACTGGGTATAAAGGTGCATGTCTACAATCCCAGCACTCAGGAGGCTGAGTGAGGCAGGAGGATCTCAAGTTTAAGGCCAACATGAGTTACATGGCAAGTTCAAGGTCACCCTGGGATACAACGGAACCTTGTCCCAAGAAACCAAAACCAAAAACAAGTCAAGAATACCTAGATTAACTCAAAAAGTGCTTACGTTAAGCATCACACTAATAGCCCTTAAAGCCCAACGGTTAATTTTAGCGCTAAAACTAACACTGTGAGGTCATAATCTCTGAGCAACCTATTCAATGTCTCTTCCTTTGGGAACCCAATCCTTCTCCTGTCCAAATTAATCTTGCTTTGATCCATGGGAGATGGAGAAGTTAAGCCAGAGGGATGACCCAAGCAAAGATCATTACATTTTATTCCCCACCTTATAAATGGCTTGCAAACCAACCAAATTAGAGGCTTCAGTGGACTTTCAACAGAGCTAGGGAGAAAGTATACAGTGTTGTGGACCTTAATTACTCTAAGGGCTGCTAGTGCCCACATCTCAATATATGAACAAAGCTAACCTAAGAAAACATCGTGGAGGCAAGATCACCAGTGGTGCCTAACACTGAAGAAGAAATCTCCTCAGACTTTTCAGGTACAAAAATCTTAGCCTCAGCTAGTTTAACCTGGGTCTCTAACATTTGCACCTTGTGTTAGCTTAGGCAGCACATATACTAAAAATCCTAATATCCGCACTTTAATACAATTGTGTTTCCCTCTATGGAACAAGGAGAATGTGTTACACATAGGAAGTGAGATCATAAAACGTTACAAAAATGTTGTCAACGTTAACTGTTAACCACCACTAAAATAACCCTCATTAGATACAGAATGAGGTCGATAAGCATTTGCTAAAATATTTATTCCATTACGTACAACTTGGTTGTAAACTAATTTTAATCAGCCTATATTGAACGTTGTTACGTCACTCAAGCTTTATTTCAAATAAATGTAGCTCCTTTTAGAATTCTCCATCTGTCGTCTAATTATTTTGAACTTAAGATGATCCATTTCAAGTTTACAATGTAATAAGTAATAAAAGAGATATCTGGTCCAGTGTCCCAATTCTCCCACTTCCCCCCAAGCAACTACTATTATGAAATTTGGGTTTGGCCCCAGAAAGTCCTAAGACAGTGACAGAAAAAAGGGAGGAGAAAAAAGCCTTCAGTTTAGAGTCTCAAAAAAAAAAACAAAAGTGAAAACTAGGTAGTAAGAGCGATCTGTACGAAGCTGACTGCACCTCCCATTTACAGAGCCTTGGCCACCCACGGCAGGAGCGGACCAGCTGGCAGGACAAGAGGGCAGAATTACTTCCAGCCAGCAGAGTCAGCCCCGCTCACTCGAAAAGAATCCAGACCACACCTACGCTCCTAGCCGCGCTGGGGCGGGGCGGGGCGGGGCGGCTCGGCCTGAGCACCGGCTAGAGGAAGGGAAGCAGGAAAGGAGGCGGCTAGAGAGCCAAGCTGAACGACCTCCCCCCTCCGGCCCCGCGCCCACCTCAGGAGCGTCTCGAGGGCGCCCTCATGCTTGTCCAGCGGGCGGCCCAGGGCGGTGCGGCGCAGCTTGCTGAGCTCCTCGGCCGCGCGGCAGTACTGGGCCTGCTCCTCCCCGCCGCTCGGGTAGGTCTGCTGGATGAACTTCACCAGTGGCTTAGCCAGGTCCACCTCCGAGGTCTTTTTCAGCTGCACCGAGATGAATGTAGCCATGATCAGCACCCCGGCCACCGTTTGGGCCAGAAAGACGGCAGAACAGCGAAGACGGCCGAGGCGCTCGGGGTACCGGGAGGCGGACCAGCGGACCGACGGGCTGACGGACGTGCGCTTGGCCTGCGCTTCGGATCTGGCCACTTCCGGGAGCGCCGGCGCAGGCGCACTTAGAAGGGCGCGCGTGCCGCATGTGGTCACGTGATGCCGTGACGGCGCCGCTCACCTGCGCGCACCTCAGAGTCCTCTGACTTTCTCTGCTTCTGCAACTGCTACTTTCTTCCTTACTGTCGGCTTGGGCGAAATGAGCACTTTAACGTAAGAGTAACTATTCCTCCATTTAAACAACTTCCCTGTGAAGTACTCCTGTCCTTCCACCTGCCCACAACCTTGCAGTCCCAGTGTTACTGTGATTTATAATTCAGTCAGCTACTATCTACGGTCTAAAGTGTGCAGGGTCTGTGTACACTGAGCCTAGTTGGCGCCGTCTCTGTGCAGTGTAGAGTTGGGAAAGAACCCAGTAAGACTAAAAAAAAAAAAAAAGTGCCATGAGGAGGAGGAAATAACAGTGCTTGGGATTTAAGTTTTTGGAGCGCTTGAAAGAACCAGATTTTAAACAACTTAATTAAATAAGGCTTTCTCTGAGGCGAACTTAAAATGACACTGGTAATTAAGAAAAAATGCTTGACATTACAAGGAGAATGGAGAGAGATTGAGAGGCAAGGGAGAGCCTCCCAGACCCAAAAGTCTTCCCATGTCCAGGGAGTAGAAACAAATTTTGTAGTTTAAAATGCAAGTAAAAGCTAATTACATGCCTGTAATTCCAGCTAATGGGGAAGCTGAGAGAAAAGTTCAAGGCCAGCCTGGGGAACGTAGTGAGACCGTGTCTCAGAACAAAATAGTGTATGCCGAAAAAAACAAAAAAAAAATGAAAAAATGCTTGCCTAGCATCCTGAGGCCATTGGCACAATCCCTAGTACCAAAAGAATTTTTTTAAAACTAGAGAAGAGAATGAAATAGTTGAAAGAGTAAACAGGCATTTAATAGTTCAGAGCTTTCTGAGCCAAGTTAAAGAATTTGTTTTGTCAATAAGAAAAAAAACTATAAATAGCATTTAAGCAATTTACATTTTACAGTTTTTAAAAGGTCACTGCATAGATCAATCTGATATTTTGTCTCTTGATGGAATGTAATATGAACTATACAGTATCTATGTTATATTCTAGGTGAAAATACTTAATTTAAATCTATCAAGTTTTTGCATCTAACACAATAAATACAGCAGACAGATGAACAAACAAGTAGTACCAGAAAAAATAACTAGGAAAACTTAGAAAGTGAAACAGTTCTGAAGATAACTGGCATATCTCTTCAACACTTTACTGTCAAAAAAGCAACCGCTTTATGCAGAGAAATATAAGGGGTATTACCTTAAATTGAACTTGATCCTGGTCTATACATACTACCTATTTCATGCATTTTTCAGTTGAAGAAATTTGAGTATAGAAAGACTATTAGATAAAATGAAACCATTGCCATAGAAAGGCAGAGATTATTAGCTGAGAAAAAGTAAGTCACAAAATGGCATTATGTTACAATATCATTTCTTTTTTTAAAAAATAGGTATGTGTATTTATGTACTACGAAAAAGTTGCACTCTTAAGGTGTTAACATCGCAGTATTTTCCTTATGCTTCTCTTTGTGTATTTTTTGCAGCATATAGCATATACTTCTTACATTATAATAAAAGCTTATTTTACCACAATTTATAAAATTTCTTTAAACTATTCTTTATTAAAGTAAACAAAGTAACCACTCTGCCTGGTGTGTAGAGAATGTTAGTGGAAGGCAACAGTGGAAGCAAGGAAGCACATTTTTTAGTTAAAAACAGATAAATTTTCCAATTAAATGGATAGAAAAATAAAGAAAGAAGAGTGATCACAGGTGGTAGCAACTGGTTTGGGAACCTAAACATCTGGGTGGTTGGTGAGATTATGTACTGATGTAAGGAAGACCAGTGGATAACCCACTGATGAGGGTTATTTGCTTTTACATCTAAGTATTAGAGTCATTAAATTGATAATTCTATATACAAGAATATCATTCCACTGAGATTAGAGCTCCACAAAGAGATCTTGTTTGGTAGCCAGCATACAAATTATTTTTAAGCCCCCAGGACTGTGAAGGAATACATCAAAATAGTTCAGAAGCCATCAAGCAATATAATACCTGATTAGGTGTTTTTTTAAGATAAAAGATTAACTAGAGTATCTTGTACTTCGGTTGACAAGACTAATTCACTGGGAACAAAAATTCCAAATAGAAGCAAATAGTAAAAGGAGCTAAGTGAGACAGTTAGGGACCACCATTAGCGTCACAGGAGGCTGGGAAGACAAAATAAGTCCCTAAGCACAGTAAAATATTACCCTTTGTAGCATGACATGTTATTTCTCCATCCTGTGCTCTTTTAAGAGACCCACCACGAGACCCTGTCTCAAAATACATTTCATACACCAAACATCACAGTTTAGCAATACAGTACACTGTCCATCATTTGTTTACCCTCATTAATTGCATAGCTAACTGACTGGCTGCTGCTGCCCTGCATTGCTAGAGATATCAGACCATAGCACTAGACCAGGAAAAGATCAGAATTCTAAGTGTGGCTTCTGTTGAATGTGTATGACTTTGCACCATGGTGAGGTCAAAAAATTTGTAAGACAGGGCCGGGGATTTAGCTCAGTGGTTCTGATGCCTGCCTCGCAAGCGCAAGGTCCAGAGTTCAATCCCCAGTACCAAAAAAAAAAAAAAATTGTAAGACAAACCATTATAAATCAGGAAACAATTGTATATTCCCATCACTTGGCATATAGTAGGCAGTAAAAATTTTTGAAAGAGTAAGTGAATTTCAGTACTTGTGGGGATCGAATTTGGGACCTTACGCTTACGAGGCAGGCAGCAGCCCCACTAAGCCAAATCCCCAGCCCCTCACTGCTTGTTTTTTAAAACATCAACTTCTATTCTCAAAACACTTTGTCCAACAAAAACCCCCCACTTAACTAGGTAATAGGCTAGTTCATGTTCTGATAATAAACAATTTCAAAATCTCAGTACCTTAACATAGTAAACATTTGTTCCTTGGTCACACAAAGTCTCAATATGGAATAGGCTTGGCACTGTTGTCCAACAATTGTCAGCAATCCACACTGCTTTGGTATTGTAGCTCAGCCTTCTTAACGTGAGATACCACTTTTGTAAGGGGAGAGTGAAACTATATAGCATTACTCTGCAGGTTTTTACTGCTTCCCTCTCTAACTTCTCACATTTCACTAGCTAGAACTTTTCACATGGCTCCACCAAACTGCAATGGGAAAGATGGCCTTCAGTGTGCCCTGAAAGGACTACGGAACCAAATATTAAGGACCATTAATAATGCTCCCAGTAATGAATTTCACTGCTTCAAAACTTGCTTATGATGAGTTTTCCACTTGCTTATGATGGCTTAGTTTTCTCTCTCTGTAACCAGATTCCATAAAATGCTCTTCGAGTGCGTTCTCAGTGTAATACTTGGGGGGATATTAATAGATTTTCCTTCCTGATAATACGTAGTTCTGGTGGGCCCACCATTACCCCTACTGACTGAACCACTAGAAATAATTGCCTCTTTGGAAGGACAGAATCCTGCTGAAAACAATTTCAGAATAATTTTTGGAGTCCTTCTTAAGACAATACCCTTAATTACTTGTGATTTTTAGAGAAAACTTTGTTGACAAGAAAAGAGGTTTCAAAAAGTCAGACTCAAAAAGCCAGGTGTGGTGGTGTATGCCTATAATTCTAGCACTCAGGAAGTTGAGGCAGGAGGATTGCCTGGGCTACAGAGTGAGTTAAGGCCACCCTGAATGATATAGGGAGACCCTGTCTCAAAAAAACAAAAAAGTGGGATAAGGATTTGGTGGACATTCCTGTAATGTAAAGAGGGAGATTGGTACTGAGGGATTCTAAGATGAGAAAGTAAAGGGCAGAAAGTAAAAGTTGGATCTTTGTTTCCTTACTCCTCTCTCTCAGGATAAATCTAGATTACAGGAGGGGAGCCTGGAGGGAAGGAGACATGGAGCAGGATCACTCAAATAGACCTAATGAAATAATACACGGTAACTTCATATATCACCTGAGAAGGACACATTCATTCTGTGTGGGATGAGAAACAAGGCAATGATGTAAGGAAAGGACACTGGGTTTTTTGGAACATGTAATCAAAAAATTTTAGTCTCCTTGATTTATTTACATATTTAACTTTTTCAAAAGTCATGAAAAAACTACACATTTTAAAAATATGGATATGTAAATTTTGCCCACTATACAGCAAAATTTTTAAAGAAAAAATAGGCAACTACACACCCTATTCAGAATTACTCCCTATGTAAACACATTCTCATCCTGTACACTGCTGACTAAATTTACATCATTTGCCTGTTCTCTAATACCATTCACAACTATTTAAATAACTACTACCCTGAGCCACCAGTGTCTCCTGGATGAGAATCATTTTGCTTGAATAAGATAATTTCTAAGAAGAAATGTTAAGTATTTTTTAAAAGAATAGCATTCTAGAGTGAAAAAATTCTGGAGAGTTGAAAGTTATCCTGAGTATCTTGATATTAAGGATACATTACAAACTCCTATTTTCACTAAAATCCAATATTTGTTTTCAGCATTTAAAGTTGAAAAAGGAGTACTCTCACCTTTTTACCCTCACTTTTGTTATTAATTTACTTTTGGAGCTAGATAAGAATGTTCCTTTAGTCACTTCTCTCAGGCATACAGTAGCTCTGTTTCTAGTTTAGTAAGTAGCAAGGATCAGTATGTAAATGCTTATCAGTGTCTCATCATATAAAACACTCGAGTTTATTAAGAAAATAATGCAGGACCAGGGATTTAGCTCAGTGGTGCCACCGCCTGCCTTGCAAAAAAGGTCCCGAGTTTGATCGCTGATACCAAAAAAAGAAAAAAAGAAAAAGAAAATAATGCATATGCACAACATATGTAATTTATGTAATTTCATTTATGTTCACTTATTTAATATTTATGTATTAATGAAAATCAAATCCTGTAAGCTTCATGGTACAAAGTA